AGTAAACTTATCACAGAGACAGTTTTAATATTTAGTGGTGATTGTCTATTATTTTCTGTTAAATGGCCCTGGAAGCTTAAACATGAAGCACAGCTACCAAATAGCTGCCCGTTTTGCTGGGCAGTAGGTCTAATGTGTTTTTTCTGCCAATGCTTCTGCCTTTCTTCTTTTCTTTTAATGTGGTGGAGTGCCAGGTTCCAGGCAAGTTCCAACCTGTGACTTATTTACTGTCCCACAGGGACAAAAGTTTTGGCAGTTCTTTCTCTTCAGCCCTAGGCATTTGGTATCCTGCTTGTCTTCTCTGTAAAATGTTGCATCCTGCTTTGTGTTGGCACAATGAAGTAAATGCAGTTTGATTTCTGTCAGGTACTGCAAATTATAAGGATGGAAGTATCTATTGAAAAGACTTTGCAATCCAATTAATAAAGTGCCTTTTAATCCCAGATAACTTTCTCTAGGATTCTGTTTAAAATTGAGTTTTACAATTCAGATATTGTATTTGACTAGGTAAGGAAATAAGTATACTTACCATGTGTGAAGACCCTGTTTTGTTTACCCCTGTACTAGAACTCTAATACTGGAACTCTGCCTGGAAATGTAGTAGATGCTCATTAATTTATTTTATGGTTGAACACTCATTACAACTAAGAATGGAGGGAATATGATAATTATACTTTATACCTCAATAATGGGTTTTTGAGAAGCTCTTTGTGTGTTAGGTACTGGTCTATAAAGATGCATCCATGTCCTCTCTCAACTTAGCTATTCAAGCAGCATTTATGCAGTTTAGTTACCTTGTGCAACCGTGGCACTGTGCTAGGAGTTGGTCACACCCTTTATGTTATTTTGATGTTTATTTTTCTTTCCATTTCCTTCCAGCTGTCATCACTGCAGCTACATACATACTTGTGTAAAGATAGACTGGAATGGCTTGAACGTTTCTCTCAGTATTCTGTTTTTTCCGCCTTTCCCCTGTTTTCTTCCTTTGCTCAGGACAGAATCTGTTGTGGAAATAATTCTGGTGTCAATGAGCAACCGGATCTGTTTTCACATATCTCTTGCCAGGAATTAGGCCCAAGGGAAAGGAACCATGATACCTCTGAAGGAAAAAGGAGATAGGAGAAAGATCATGAACACTGTTAACACTTACTAGATAGGACCACACAAATTACTCAATCCCTTAGAGCCCTGGTTTCCTCCTCTGTGAAATGGACAACATAATACCTCCCTAGAGCCTTGTTATAAGGATTAAAAGATAGAGAGGAAGTACATGTTTACCCTGGTATGTGACCTATTATAGGCACCTAGTCTCTCTTCTTTCTGGTGTGTGTGTGTGTGTGTGTGTGTGTGTGTGTGTGTGTGTGTGTGTGTTTTGTTCAGTATTCCTTTACTCGAAATAAAAGGTATAAGAATAATTATCCTTCCTTTCAAGTGGTATACAGTGATAAACACTTTCAGCAACACAGCAAGATACAAAAGATACAAATAAGTATAAAAACTAGTAGCTTTTCTATATGGCAATAATGAACAGGTTGAAAAAGAAATCAGGAAACAACCCCATTCATATAGCCTCCAAAGAAAAATACCTAGCAATGAACCTAACTAATGATGTGAAAGACCTCTAGGGAGAAAACAATAAGCTACTGAGGAAAGAAATTGGAGAAGACATTAGAAGATGGAAAGAGCTCTCATGTTCGTGGAGGGACAGATGATTGTACAACTGAAAGCAGTCTACAGTGAGTGTAATCCCCACCGACTTTCTAATGCCATTCTTCACAGAAATAGGAGACAGTTCTATACAACAAAGGAAGTAATTACCAGAATGAGACAACATTTAGAATGGAAGAAAATCCAACAATTTATTGGGTAAAGGTTTAATATGCTAAGCATATAGTGAGCTTAAAAAAGTAACCACAAAAGAACAAATGATCCAATTAATAAATGGTCAAATGAAGCGAATAGACAGTTCTCAAAAGAAGAAATACAAACGGCAAATAAATACATGAAGTATTCAACATCCTTAGCCATAAAGGAATTGAAAATCTAAATGACCCTGAGATTCTGTCTCATTCTAGTCAGCATGGCAATTATCAAGAAAGCTAATTAATGCTAGTGAGGGTGGGTGGAGTGGGCTGGGCAGGGAGCTCGTATACTGTTGGTTAGAATGTAAATTAGTGTAGCCATTATGGAAATCAGTATGGAGGTTTCTCCGAAAACTAAGAAGAAACTATCATATGATCTTGCAGTACCACTCTTGGACATATACAAAGTAATGTAAATCAGCATACAATTAGATAGGTCTGAACACTCATGTTTAATGCAGCACTGTTCAGCATGGCCAAGCTACAGAGTCCACTTAGGAGCCCATCATCCAATCATTGGATAAATAAAAATGTGCTATATATTCACAAGGGACTATTGTAGAATGAAATTCTGGGTATGTGTGGGGAAACTTTGATCTTCAAGCCCTATACCCTTCTGTACTGGAAATAAATTGCTTCTTCTTGAGCACTTTCCCATCAACTAGAAGCAGGTCGATATCATTTTGATGTTTTTGTTAATATTTCCAAATAGTGTACTTTTAAATCTAAATTAACACTTTCAGATATTTCTGATGCTCTTCATCACATTTGTGATCAGAAGTGAGATGTAATAGCCTTGCCCTTATAGCAAAAGCAAAGTAGGTTCTTCTGATTATTCAAAGAGAGTTCTACCCTAACTCATGGATTGTGAAGAATGAACTGCTATTGGGTCTAATTAACTGTTGGTGGGTTGTGGGTATCATATTCAGAGGCTATTAGTTCCAACTTATGATGCTTAATAAAAATCTTGATTCTTTTAGTATGTACACACACACAGACACACACAGATACACACAGCAAAATTATGTCATTTGCAGGAAAATGGATGGACCTGGACATCATGTTGAGCAAGCTTGTCCAAACTCTGGAAGACAAATATTGCATGTTTTCATTTATATGTATAATCTATTCCCAAAACTAACAAGAATAATAATGAATATGACATATCACTCAAATAACTGTAATCAATAAGTAGTTGTGAAGTGTGAAAATTCATATCCTCATCATATATTGATAATGGGAATCTATGGTTTAGCTGGTTTGGAAGGTAGTGTGATAATGCCTTTCTGTGATAAGCATGCATTATTATATGATTCAGAAATTGCTGTAGATACCTACCTTGAGAAATGAAAATACTCATAGGAGCTGTGTGAGCAGAGTTATCTCAGCAGCAACAAAGAGGAAGTAATGAGAGTGTCAGCTAGTTGATGAAGAAAACTCATGGTTTCCATTTGGTCTCTGAATTGTTCAGAATGTCTGGCTGATCTTGGCTGTGAACTTGGACACCAGCTGTTCTATCTATGAAGTTGAATATTGCTTGGAGTGGAAAAGAATGGTGTAGTGATACATACTGCAGCATGGATGAACCCCGAAAACATTCAAGTAGAAGAAGCAGTTACAAATGATCACACAGTGTTGAGCTCATTTGCATGAAGTAGACAGATCTGGAGAGACAAAGTGGATTAGTGCTTGCCTGTGATTGGTGGCGGGGGAAGAGGCAGTAGGCATTGACTGCCCAGTCAATGAAGTTTGTGGGGTAGATGAAAATGTGGAGGTGGTTGCACAACTCTTTAAACACGAGAAGCTATTGTCACTTTGAAAGAGTGAAACTTACAGCATGTCAGTAAAACTGTTAAAATTCCCCTTCTTTCTTGGATCTTCAGCCATTTTAGTCTTTCTATGAAAGAGCCCAGGCCTCCCATCCTAAGACAAAAATGGGCCGGAATACAAAACCTCCACTCGCTTGTCACTGCCGTGCCCCGCCTCTCTTCCTCCATAGCTGAGACTTTTAATTTTAATTTTTTTATTTTTGTCAGTCGTGGGGCTTGAACTGTGGGCCTCCGCGCTGTCCCTGAACTCTTCATTTCAAGGTGACAATTCTACCACTTGAGCCAAAGCGTCACTTCCAGTTTTCTGGTGGTTAATTGGAGATAAGAGTCTCACAGACTTTCCTGCCTGGGCTGGCTTTGAGCTGTGATCCTCAGATCTCAGCCTCCAACTAGCTAGGATTGCAGGTGTGAGCCACTGGTGACCGGCTGAGACTTTTTAATTTTTAGTATTTTTTTTTGGTTGGTTGTAGAGCTTGAACTTGGGGCCTGGGTGCTGTCTTTGAGCTCTTTTGCTCAAGGCTAGTGCTCTATCACTTTGAGCTACAATGCCACTTCTGACTAGCCTGCCTGAGCTGGGTTGTCTGTGATCCTCAGATCTTAGCTTCCTGAGTAGCTAGGATTATAAGCATGAGCCACCAGCACCTGGCTTTTGAGACACTTTAAAAGTTAGAAAACAAGCAATTTAGTTCATTGTAAAATAGTTAAAGACTGTGAGCATGTAGAAAGAAAAAGATTCTAGACAACTAATTGTTCACCACTCAGAAATAGTCCCTATTAACATTTATAGAATTTTAGCATTGTGTTTTTGTTTCCAAAGATGAATACTGTCATCAGGAAAGGTTTGTTATGTTACTACTCTAAGATAATAGATCATTGGATATTTTTACAACGATCGACACTTCTGTCACAACAGCAGGCATGTGGTGGGTTTCATGCATGATTTGACTTTTTGATGCTGAAGATTCATTTAAATCAAATCTGAACTGTGTAAAACCTAATGCATTGCCAGCATTCAAGCTCCTTAGGTGTTTGTGAGGTGAATGCATAGAACCCTGTTGACTGTTAGGCCATACTTGTTTCCTGGCTTTTGCCATAGCCACAGGTATCTCAAGAGATTTCAGTCTGACTATTTTTTAGTGTGTCCGAGTGCTCTGCCTTGTGAATTAACAATTTCATGAATTCTGTGTGGCTTCTATGGAGTGTTCAAAATGTCTAGCTGACACTGGCTGGGATAGATGGATGGTTTTCCTGTTCTGAAAGTCATTGAGCTAATTTCATTGTTTTTTTTTTCTCCCTTTTGTTTGTGCAGAATTAGACTGGCTGAACAACCCGAGCTTTTGTGTGGGAACCTTGACATCACTGAGCCAGCCGTCAGAAGAGCCCTCAACCCCTGTTCCTCAGCGCTCACCACGCAGAAGGTAGCTGTTAGACAGGTGGATTTGGGCCTTTGTGTGCTGCTAAAAGTTTAGCTGACATGGTTCTTTTTGGAAAGCCTGTGGTGAGAGCTGAGTTTGAGCTATTCCTTCTGCTTTCAGTAATGGACCTTACATAGAGTAATGGACTTCATGTGCAGTAAGGGACCGTCGTTCCTGCCTTGCTCCTGTGGATGGTTCTTTTTCCTCTAGCACTGCTGTGGCGAGCGTAGGGGACAGTGGGTGCCTGTAACTAGGAGTGAGGGAGGGGTCAGGTAACTTCACTAACATCGTTAGTAACCCTTAGGGTAGTAATGCAGGGGTTGCTTTGGGTACATTTTCAATACTTCTGTAAAAGTAGCTCATATAACGGGACATAGAATGAAATCTCAGAACACTGGGCAAGCACAGTTGCACACGGCTATATGTGGCTGGACAAGATCATGGAATTGAGAAACATCCTCCTTCACCAGTATAGGCTCCATGGCCTCATTAATTCAGAGAAAGTGCGGTACCATAAAGGTTCAGGAATTCGTTGGACAATGATAACAGATGATAACCAAGGATACTTTGGTTATGAGGAAGAAGAGTTCATTGTCACCCTAAAAAGCAAGGACCAAGCTAGGCACTGTTATCTCATACCTGTAGTACTAATTACTCTGAATAAAAGCCCAGGAATGGTGCTGCATGCATGTGCGCTCATGTGTCTCACACACACACACACACACACACACACACACACACAAGTAAGGACCTCAGTTAAGCCTTTTCCTTTTCCTTTTCTGCCTTAAAGTTGCATTGGCATAATAAGTGCCACTGAAAATAAGACTGATTGTGTCAGTAAATGACATTTTTCTTGATCAAGTTACTACATATATCTACAACAGTGTAGGCTTCGAAGTGACAGAAATGAGATTCTCCAGCTGTTTTTATTTTAGGCGCAGGTGTTCAGTATGGGGTGAGCTATATAGTCCAGAAAGTCACTATGAAGTATATGAGAAAACACTTCAGTGTATGTGAGAGTTTCTAGAGCTCCCCAGTACATATTTTCTTGGTTGCATATCTTCTCCTACTTCTCTTTTGAAAACAATTGTATGACTGCTTTTCTCTTATCAGGAGTCCTTTGAAGTCTGAGTCTTCAGATGAGAGTGACAGTGGCAGAAAGCTCCCACAAGGAAGCAGGAAGAAGAAGAAAGAGAAGAGGAGGAAAAGAAAGCACCAGCACCATAGGAAGACGAAGAGGAAACATGGGCAGTCAAGCAGCAGTGAGTCTGAGCACGACACGGATTCTGGGAAGGATCGGCCTTCCCAAAGCCTTACCGGCACTCAGAAGGGATCCGAAAAACCCAGGTGGGTGTCTGCCAGTGAGGTTTTTTGTTTTTTTGTTTTTAAATTAATTATTGGTCGTGGGGCTTGAACTCTGGATGTTTTCCTTGAGCTCTTCAGCTCAAGGCGAGCACTCTACCACTTGAGCTACAGTGCCACTTCCAGTTTTCTGGAGGTTAATTGGAGATAAAGAGTCTCACGGACTGTCCTGCCCAGGTTGACTTTGAACCGAGATCCTCAGATCTCAGCCTCCTGAGTAGCTAGGATTACAAGCATGAGCCACTGGCGCCTGACAGCCAGTGAGGTTTTATTTATTTATTTATTTTGGTCTGGTCGTGGGGCCTGAACTCTGGGCCTGGGCGCTGTCCCTCAGCTCTTCAGCTCAAGGCTAGCACTCTACCACTTGAGCCACAACGCCACTTCCGGCTTTTTTCTTTTTGCTTATGTGGTGCTAAGGAATCGAACCCAGGGCCTCAGGCATGCAAGGCAAGCGCTCTACCACTGAGCCACCTTCCCAGCCGCCAGTGAGGTTTTAAATTCCAGTTTGTCTCCCTTGATGGTTGTCAAAAGATAGACATTTGAAGGATTAATCTAGCCATCCAGTCAGAAGAGAGCTCTGCCATCAAAGCAGCTTACAAACAAGAAAAACTGCCATCAAATTGGCAGCCTGATTATATTTGAGAAATATTATTTATGCCCAATAATGATTATGTCACAGTTGGAATTGGGACAGTGAAAGATGCCGTTTGTGCAGCATGGATGACATGGGGTCAGTGCACAGCGAAGCGGTCATTTAGGAGTAGCAATCACAGCTGCCTTGCTGTGACCCCATCACTTGACACAGGGCCCAGTGTAGTGCACTTTGCTGTCTGAATGAATGGCTGTGTTATTGACTTCTACTTTAGTTATTGCACCTTCTGAAAATTTACCTCTTATTTACACATCCATTTTTAGAGCAGAGGAAAAGGAGTGTGAAAGGATTTCCTGAAACCACACAGGAACTTCCATAAGAACTTGAACGATTGTTCATTTCTGCCTGTGCTCGACCATGCCAGAGAGAATCTTCAGTGTCGTAGTAGTTTTATGACCCAGACAGCAGTTTCAAGTTCAGTATTTTTGTTGAGTAACCTATTAGATCAAAATTGATTTTTCTTTTAAAAATTTTGCTACTGGGGTTAACTTCAAGGTCTTGTACTTGCTCGGCAGATGCCCTATCTCCTGAGCCACCCTCTTGGCCTCAAAGTAGTTTTTATCCTCTCATTTCCTGCTGCTAGCTTCTGCTGTCTTCTGGGAAGGTGACCTGGCAGAGTTGTTTATTCTGTACAGACAGGGACGAAGGTATTTTGAGTGATGAATGTCTTTCCATGATGCCAGGGAAAAGGGTTCAAGGAGGGTGGCGTGCCACGCGGGACCTGGGGATACTTCCCCAGGGTGACAGCTACTAATTGACTTGTAGTTCATGGGACAAGATTTCCTTCACGGTAAGATGAAGGCAGCACACAGCTGAGACTATGTCTTGCTTCCTGACCCACAATACCGACTTGGGAGAGTGGGGAAGGGTAACCTGCAGTGTGCCCTTGGCTTTCCTCTTCTTTCTTCTCTATGCAGTGCATTAATTTCTTCACAGTGGGCTCTCCCTCTTTTCCAAGTCTTACATAGTTTATTTTTTTATTTTTGTGGGCTGGGTGCCAGTTCTGTGGCTTGAACTTCGGACCTGGATAACATTCCTGAGTTTTTTTTGGTCAAGACTAGTGCTGTACCACTTTGAGCCACAGCTCCACTTCTGGCTTCTTGGTGGTTAATCTGAGAGAAGAGTGTCTTGGACTTCCCTGCCCAGGCTGGTTTTGCATTGAGAGCCTTAGATTTCAGCCTTCTGAGTAGCTAGGATTACAGGTGTGAGCTACCAGTGCCCAGTCTTTTTGTTTTTTCTGTTTTAAAGTATGAGCTGGCCTAAAATCATCACAGGCAGCCCACTTAATGTCCGTGGATATCACCAGTTACTACCTTTGCCATGTGTTCCAGTGTGCCTTAGAGCAGAAGTAATTTTTTAAATGTATTTTTATTGTGAAAATACTGTACAGAGGGGTTACAATTACATGGGTAAGATAATGAGCACATTTCTTATCAAGCATTGTAGCCTCCTGCTTTGTTTCCCCTTCCCGTCCCTTCGTATCCTCCCCCCTCCCCCCGTACCCCCCACCAAAGTTGTAAAGTTCGTTTTTGACATAACGACTAGTACATCTCATTGTGAGCAGAAGTAATTTTTAGAAAATATAAAGCTTTGTTTATAAGAAATATAAATAGCGCTCCCATGAAATAAAAGTTGTAATCATTTAAGTGAAATGCTATAAAGTACACCTGTACTCTTGAGGATAATAACTGAGATGACCCCTTTGCTTGATACGGGTGACAGGTTCTGCTTTGTTTTGTCCCCTCATCCCTGGCCTGTATGGGTTTCTGCACTTATGTGTGTCTGATGCCACGTGTGCTTAGAAAGCTTTCAGCTTGCTGTTTTGGGCTGTGAGGGAATGTTACTGTAGAGTCACCTGTCCCTTTTCCTTTGTCCACAGCCAAGGAAATAGTGCAGTTGCTGGTGCAGGCACTCACTCCGTGTGGCTGGAGGACATTGAGGCTCTGACAGGAGAAACCTTCCGTGTGGATAAGAAGCCTGACCCTGCAAACTGGGAGTATAAAAGTCTCTACCGAGGGGATATAGCAAGGTATCCAGTGTTTCCCCCTCTTTCTACCCTCTCACTCTCTCTCTTAGGTTCTGTTGGGTGTTAGCCATTGCTGTTAGGGCGCATGTATCATATTTACTGAAAAAGGCAGACTTGAGGTCAGGTCATACTGACTTGCTTTACCCATGGGGCATTGCTTAGTGCCTGGTGGATAAGCCTAAAAGCAACTTACTGTAACAGAGTATCCAGAAACGATTTGGTTTAATCTATCTGCCATTTAAAAAAAGTAGCAAAGACCTTTTTATTTATCCTTCTCCCCACATACCATTTAAAAAGTGACATTTAATGATAATGACTTTTTCAGATTATTTCTAGCATATACCACCAGATGATCATAAAACTATGTGGTAGGCGGTATTTGCTTCAGTAATGAATTTGAACTTTCCCCCTGTAATCTGTCAATCATAAATATTTGAGTAAGCTAGACAAGATGGCTCATGCCTGTAATCCCATCTTCTTGGAAGGCTGAGGAAGTAGATTGATAATTCGAGGCCAGTCTGGGAAGCCTCACAGTTGACACTCAAAGCAACAGCAGTGGAGTACTTAATAAAACTTTTCAAGCACTTACATTTTCTAGGAAACTTAGGAACTAAAGAACAATAGATAATCTCTATTTCCAAATAGTTTATAGGTAATGAAAATCAAAGGTAGGGAATTATAGGAAATAAGAGTAGATTTGGAGATTGTTATGCGTTATTATAGGTTAATACTCCTTAAAGTTCAGTTTCTAATGCCTCACCAAACCTCCAAATTAGAATCACATTTCTCTTCCTGACTTTATATTTTACCATATAAACAATTCCTGCTGAAATTGCCTTTGTGAGTTTATCTTGGTTGTTTTTGGATTGTTTCAATACTCTGAAGTAGTGTAAGGTTTTGTATACCACCCCAAGGAGTGGTGGGCACCCAGGAGGAGATGGGGAAGGCAGCATGCCTGACCATGCGGGAGGTGTGTACATGGCCCCTGCTCCTGCTGTGTCAGCCCGTGCGATGCCGTGGCTGCTCCTTGAGGAGGAGAAGGAGGAGGCAAGGACTCGAAGGTCAAGTATCTGTGCCAGATCAGGCAGCCAGGGGAGCACATGAGACGGGTGTGGTAGGACGCTTTCTGGAGTGACCAAAGACCCAGGTTCGCATTTGATGGCCACTTACCAGCAGCACAGTCCCAAGCAGGTCATCCACCTGTCTCAGCCTCCTTTCCTTCATTTGGGAATTGGGAATTACAGTTCTTACCCTGTCTTGCACACAAGTGTCAGAGATGTTTGTAGCGACGTAAGGCGTTACTATTTACTACTAGATGAAAAAGAGAAAACATTAACCAAGAGTGGCTCTTGAGGTTTTGCTAATGAATGTCACAGGCCATAGAAAGAAAGTAATTAGAAAGCACTTTCTTAGTCTAAACTGCAAAGATGGATTTTTTTTTCTTTTGTGTTGGTTATTTTTTTCTCCTTAGCATTTTCATCTAATTTGCTATAGAAAATGCTCCTATTAACTTCAGGTCAGAAAACTCAGCCATTTTATGTGTCTATGTGCGAGTACATGTGCATGTGCATGTGCGTGCGTGTGTGCATGTGCGTGTGCATGTGTGTTTCAAGGCCTGTAGATAAACTGAGTTATGTTTTACTACAAAAAATAAAATACGCGAATCCAAACTACAGTGTAAAATCGAAGATGTATCTTCACTGAATGTTTGTAAATGGTTTCTTCTAAGAATTACAATTGTTACAGCTCTTAAAAAAATAGGCAGTTTTGAATTTGAAAAAATTCACACTTACCATAAAGATGAAAGATGTTCATACTGAGATACTTCAGCCCAAACCTTCACAAACTAGTGTAAGTAAGTTGCTGAATGAAAAAGATTCATTTTTTTTCATATTAGAGAGAAACTACCTCTTGCCTTACAAATGCAAAATAAATTCACTGGACTCCACTCTTTTAGAAACCACAAGCTCACTATTAAGGCTTGAACCTCAGTAGCACTAATTGGGAAAAATGTAAAAACAGACTTTAATATGAGAGTTGGCTAAAATAGACATTCTCTGTAGGAAACATCTCTGGGTTTTTGTTAAGCACGCTCTTAAATCCTCAAACAATCACTTAACCCATTCTGGGTCTCAATTAGTACAGCACTTGCCTGGCATGCCCAAGCCATGAGTTCCATCCCCAGTACTGCAAAACCGTAAAGAATGCAACTGAAAGCTGTTTCCAAGATCATTCTGGAAATGGAAAGAATACATTTGATAGCCCAAACAGTGTCAAGGCCATGTTTGAACTCTTAATTTGATGATCTCTTGCTTTTTCACTCCATTTCCTGTCGCCAGTGCACCCTCTCCTTTGTTTCGGGGTACCTGAGGTTCTCTGTGTTTCAGTGAACACTTGTTTTTCTTTTTGCTTTAGGTAAGAGATTTATATCTTTTGAGACATATTTCAATAACTACTCTTCACATCCTGCACCTGCATTTCTGACACGTAAAGCATAGCAGTCAGGCAGGTACCACCCTCAAGACTGTCTCAGGCTTGCTTTTATGCCAACTATTTGGAAAGGTCCGTGATCTCTAAGTTTGCCTTTGGAGACTAGAATTCAATGTAGAAAGTTCAGTGTAGAAAACAAAGCACTTGTTCATAATTTATAGTAGAGCTATACAGCATAACAAACCCCCTTTAGTACGTTTTTGGGAGAAAGGGGCAGACAGTGGGAGTTGAACTCAGGGCCTCGTGCTTCCTAGGCGAGACCACTTGAGCACTCTTCCAACCCCCACATGTCTCTCATGCCTTTTAATTTACCTACTTTAAAAAATGGTCTTGAGCTTAAAAGTAATCGTTACAGGCCCCTTCTTAGCCTCAAGCACAATAAAAAAGATTTTTGCCCTTGTCTACCAAAAAAGACATGCATTTTTGCTTGACAGGTTCATCAAAGTTACAGATCAAATCTGCTGCTAAGGAACATGGTTTCTGAGCTGGTAACCATCCTGATGACCTGACAACATGGCCAGCATTCTAACACTCAAATTAAAAGCACTGTTCAGGAATTCCACCCTTTTTACTATTGCAAAGGAAAACCATAAGGGAACTTCTAGCTTAGTAAAACACTGACCGGACCTTGGCTAATGTTCTTCAGCAACAGACCAGAAGATTGAGTTATGCACTGATAAGGCTCTTACCACTCACTGGTTTTTGTTTTGTTTTGATTTTTGGTCAGTTGTGGGGCTTGAACTCTGGGTCTGGGCGCTGTCCCTCATCTCTTCAGCTCAAGGTGAGCGCTCTACCACTTAAGCCATAGTGCTGCTTCTGGTTTTCTGGTGGTTCATTGGAGATGAGAGTCCCGTGGACTTTCCTACCCAGACTGGCTTTGAACTACGATCCTCAGATCTGAGTCTCCTGAGTAGCTAGGATTACAGGCATGAGCCACCAGCATCGGGCCCTACTCACTGGTTTTGTGTCATTTTTCCATAGCCTCCTCTTCTAACATCGAAGTCCTTCTGATACTCATCTCAAACCAGGCTCCCAGATGGCCAATGTCCATATTGCCTGCCCTCTTTAAAGCCTGCATTCCAGCCTGTGTGAATTATCAGGTCATGCAGATGGGTTCCACTGATGCTCCACATAATGTAGTCTACAAATTATTATTATTGTGAAAATACCATACAGAGGGGTTACAATTACATGGGCAAGATAGTGAGTACATTTCTTATCAAGCATTGTAGCCTCCTCCTTTGTTTCCCCTTCCCATCCCTTCCCCTCTCCACCCCCCCACCCCCCCACCCAGGCTGTTTTTTTCACTTTATCCAGACCCATAATGATCTTCTTTATGTTACCATTTTTGCTGAAGAGCTCATAAATTTGTTCTTCAGTTGTGTAAAAGGAAAGATTTCCAACATACAACATACAGCTTTTCTTTGGTAGTTTTTCTTGTTCTTCATTGTCCCCCTGAAAGTGCTGGTTGCGGTAGTGGTCCATGTAGGAGTTGCTGGACATAGCACAGAGAGGTGGACAGGCACACAGCACTTACTCTACTTAATCACTTCCTTAAACAGCTTAGCATGGGATTATTTACTAGAATCCCGTGTTTGTCTCCCCTCCCTCTTCCTCTTCTTTTCCTCTTCCCGTCTTTTTTTCCTTCCCATTTCCTTTTCTTCCTCTCTTTTCTTCTCCCCCCTCCCCTGCTCCCCTCGCCATTCCTGGGGCTTGAACTCAGGGCCTGGTGCTGTCCAAGCTTCTCTGTGCTCCAGGATAGCACTCTACCACTTGAGCCACAGCACCACTTCTGGCTTTTTCTTTTTCTTTTTTTATTGTGAAAATACTGTACAGAGGGGTTACAATTACATGGGCAAGATAATGAGTACATTTCTTGGTCAGTCATGGGGCTTGAACTCTGGTGCTGTCCCTCAGTTCTTCACTACCACTTGAGCCACAGCGCCACTTCCAGTTCTCTGGTGGTTCACTGGAGATAAGAGTCTCATGCACTTTTTTTTTTTTTTTTTTGGGTCCGGTCATGGGGCCTGAACTCTGGGCCTGGGCACTGTCCCTCAGCTCTTCAGATCAAGGCTAGCGCTCTACTACTTGAGCCACATCGCCACTTGCGGCTTTTTTCTTTTTGCTTATGTGGTGCTGAGGAATCGAACCCAGGGCCTCTGGCATGCAAGGCAAGCGTTCTACCACTGAGCCACCTTCCCAGCCCCAATGAGTACATTTCTTATCAAGCATTGTAGCCTCCTCCTTTGTTTCCCTTTCCCATCCCTTCCCATCCTCCCTCCCGCCCCCCCAATCCTCCCCCCCCCTCCCCACCAAAGTTGTAAAGTTTGTTTTTGATATAACGACTTGTACATCTCATTGTTGCAATGGGTCCACCTGTATCCCTATTTAAACGATTTGTTTACTTCTGGCTTTTTCTTAGTATTTATTGGAGGTAAGAGTCTCATTGACTTTCTTGCCTGGGCTGGCTTCCAACCGCAGTCCTCAGGTCTTCGCCTCCTGAGTAGTGAGGATTACAGGCCTGAGTCGTCGGTGCCCAGCTTCTTCCTCTCTTTTCTTTTTGTGCTGGTACTACATCTTGAAACTCAGGGACTAGCACACTCCATTGACTTTCTCTACTCAAGGCTATTGCTCTACCACTTGAGCCACACCTCTGCTTCCTGTCCTGCTTTTTGCTGGTTAATCAGAGATAGGAGTCTCATTGACTTTCTGCCCAGGCTGGCTTTGAACCTTCATCTTTAGTTCTCAGTCTTCTGATTAGCTAGGATTATAGGCGTGAGCCACCAGTGATTTAAAAATTATGATCAGTGTAATATACAACTCTTCATTCTCAGTACTGACAAATGCATATCCCTGTGTAGGCCAGAGCTCTTGAAAAGTACAGAAGGTTCCTGTGACCCCAAAATGTTTCCTTTTTACTCACTATTCTAATGTTTCTCTTACCAGTTAGTTTTGCCTGATTGGAACTTCATCTAATTGGACCATGCAAAAAGATATGATGTGAGAAACATAGTATTTTGTATATGGCTTCTTTTGCTTAGTGCAGTGTTTCTGAGATTTATGTGGCATTTCTCAGTAGGTTGGTTCCTGTTGCTGCCTGTAGAATTCTACCATATGGCTCTACCACCATTTGTTTAGTCTTATCTGTTGATGGACACCTGGATGCTTTCCAGTATTTGACTAGTCTGAATAAAACTACTGAGAACATTTGTGCACAGGGCTTTGTGTGTGCATGTGGTTTCTTTCTCTTGAGTAAATACCTAGGAATAGAGTTGCTGGGTCATAAAGTAGACCTGTGTTTAAATTTGTAAGACACTATCAGGCCTTTTCCCAAAGTAATTCTACCATTCGCATTCTACCAACAAATGAGAATCTTGCTTGTTCATCAGCATTTGCTGTTGTTACTCTTGTAAATTTTAGCTGTGTCAGGGGGATAGGGCATATGAATTGGCATTTCTTGAACTAATGATATTGGGTACTTTTTTGTGAGTTTATTAGCCATTCATGTCTTGTGTGAAATTCTGGTTCAGCTCTCTTGCCCAGTTGGCTGGCACTCTACCTCTTGAGCCACAGCTCTACTTTTGGCTTTCTTGTTGGTTCATTGGAAATAAGAGTCTCACGGACTTTTCTGCCCATACTGGATTGAGTCATAATCCTCAGATCTCAGCCTCCTGAGGAGCTAAGATTACAGGTGTGAGCCACTGGTGCCCGGCTTCTTGCCCAGTTCCCTCCCCCCTCCCAGTTTTTAATTAGATTGTTTGCATCCAGGAAAGTGCACGATTCTCCTTCACCGTAGCCTGTGCAAACACTCAGTAGTCATGTGTGCGTGGGTAACCCCGGGCACTCGTGCATGTTCCATAAAAGCCTTGTAGAACTCAGCTTCTCTTCCTCCAAAGTAGAAATAGCCAAATGAACTCTCACTTGACACACTATTAAGATTAAGAGACAGAGCTATAGACAACGTCAGGGTTAACAGGCTAGTTACCTTGTTAAGTAGCGACGCAGGACAGCAGAGGGAAGGCAGGACCGATGACCGAGGCCCCGCGTCAGTGTGCTTTGTTAGGAGCAGTGCGAGAAGGGAATAATGCTTCTGCCTTGCCTGTCATGCATGGCTGTGATGGCTGAATGACGCAGTGTATGTGACAGTACTGTTAACTCCAAAGACCTGGAAAACAAGTACTAAGATCTAGAAGACAGGCATGATTTTAAATTCACGGAGCTGCGAATAAAGGCAGGAGGTGTCAGAGGAGGAAGTGAAGCCAGGCAGAGGGGAGCTCTTTGCTGACCTGCTTTGGCTCTGAGCAGAAACTGATAGGATCGTGAATGTGGATAGAGGCACATCCATATGAACTTGGATGACAAGAGTTTAGGTCTAATGAGTCTTCACGCTCTACAGGTAATGCCACGTTCTCCCTTTGTTACTTTTTTCTTTTTCTACAAGATACAAGAGGAAAGGAGACTCCTGTCTAGGTCTTAACCCTAAGAAGCAGTGTATATCTTGGGAAGGGGCTTCTGCCTCAAAGAAGCACTCACACAAAGCCCCAGAACGCTACTTTACGAAGAAGAGTGTGGGATTACTGAATGTCGATGGAATTGCTGTGAGCTGCAACACAGAACCTCCCTCTTCTAAGCCAATCTCATTCATCCCAGTGAAGGACTCAGATGATGTGGCTGCACCTGTTACAAGCTGGTTGAATCCTTTGGGGATTTATGATAAATCAACCACACAGTGGTTACATGGACATGGTCTCCCCGAGCAAGAAGGGAAACAGCCAGACTCACAAGTCGACAGAGAGAATGCTGTTCTCAAGGCCAAGGTAGAGGACTTTAACAGGAGAGTTCGGGAGAATCCTCATGATACTGAGCTGTGGCTGGCGTTTGTGGCTTTTCAGGTAAGTGTCACTTCCCTGCTTTTCTTACTTTGTAAGAGAAGACACATTTTATTTGCTCTGTAGCATTGCTTTTGGTTGGCTATGGATTGAATCAAGAGTCTTGTGCATGTTAGGCAAGCACTGTATCACTGAGCTACTAACCCTGCCTTTTCTTGTTTTATTTTGAGACATGGTATCACTGAATTGCCTAGGCTGCTTTTGAAATTTGATTTATTTATTTATTTTGGTGGCACTGGGGTTTGCACTCAGGGCCTGATTCTTGCTAGTAGGTGCTCTACCACTTGAGTCATTCCCCCAGCCATTTTTGCTTTTGTTATATTTTGAATAGGGTCTTCACTTTTTGCCTGGGCCAACCTGGACTTCGTTCCTCCTATTCATGCTTTCCTCATAGCTGGGATGCCAGACCCACACTACCATACCCAGGTTTTCATTGTGATGGAGTCCTGTAGCTCAACTGGCCTTAAATCATTATTATTCTGATCTCAGCTTGATGGGAAAGTGGGACAGATGACCTAGGTCTGGTCATCTACCATGAGCTACCATGAGCTGGTTTTGAAACACTTTTTGAGCTTTATGAAGAAATTTGGTAGTATATATAAAGGTTATTAGAGAAGTGGAGGTGTAGCTCAAGTGGTAGAGCACCACCATGAAAAAAGGTAGGTAAGTGAGAGTGTAAGGCTCTGCTCCCATGCCCTGGTACTACAAAAAAAAAAAAAAGAAAAAAAGAAGCAGCTAGAGCTTGTCCAGTGAGGAATCCAGTGACCCGTGAGGAATAAATGGAGCCGGGGTAGGTAGTAAGTGCTGTAGATGCTGTAATGTTAAGAATGTGCTCTTTGAGAATGAATGGAGCGAGATTGGAACAATTTTGTGTGTGTGTGTGGTTCTGGGATGGAACCCAAGGCCTTTTATGTGCTGGACGAACATGCTGCCACAGAGTATGCTCCAGCCAGGGAATGGGATCTTGCCCACCAGACAGAGGCGTTCCTGAAGTACAGACCACACGGGCAAAGTGCACACAAGTGTGAGAGCGGGCTGGTCAGGAAGTCCCCTGTGCAGGCCCTTAAAACATGTGGCTCTGTCTTCATTCTTCATTGGTGAGGCTGGCTCCTCTTCAAGGCATTGCATGCTAGTTTTTGATCCATAGACATAAATACGAATGGCAGAGACAGGCCAGTCAGGTGAAATGAAGACCAAGCATACCAGGTTAGAACACCACTCTGGGAAATGAGTTTCAAGGTTGCTTTTTGTTTGGTGTGTTTTTTGTTTTTTTGTTTTTTTGTTTTTTTGTATTGAGGATTGAACCCAGGACATTTCACTTGCTGGGCAAGCACTTTGCCACTGAACCATGTCCCAGCCCTGAGGAAACAAGTTTTTAATTAGAAGTTATAAACTGGGTCTGTGTAACAGTTGTTTTCATGATTTCCTTCTTTTTTCTTTTTTGGTATCTGTCCTGGAGCTTGAACTCAGGGCCTGGGTGCTATCTCTGAGCTTTTATGCTCAAGGCTAGCACTCTAAAACTACAGCTCCACTTCTGCCTTCCTTGGTAGTTAATTGGAAATAAGAGTCTCACAGACTTTCCTGCCTGGGGTGGCATTGAACTGTGATCCTTAGATCTTAGCCTCCTAAGTAGTTAGGATTATAGGTGTGAGCCACTGGCGCCTAGCCAACTATTGGTTTTGACAGGAGGAAGAGACATTGCAGTTGATCCTCTGTAACCCATGAGTAAATTGGTGTTTGTGTTATTGAGGATGAGGCCATGAAGTGTCCTGGCCTGTGTGCACTGGAGGAGGGAGAGGAAAAGCGGAAGAAGTCACTGAAGCTCCTCCTGGAGAAGAAGCTGGCCATCCTGGAGCGGGCCATCGACTGCAACCAGAGCAGCGTTGACCTGAAGCTCGCCAGGCTGAAGCTCTGTGCGGAATTCTGGGAGCCCTCCATGCTGGTCAAAGAGTGGCAGAAACTGATCTTCCTGCACCCCAATAATACAGCCCTGTGGCAGAAATACCTTGTCTTTTGCCAGAGCCAGTTTAGTACCTTTTCAATATCCAAAATTCACAGTCTGTATGGCAAGTGCTTGAGTACTCTCTCTGCAGTTAATGACGGCAGCATCTTATCTCACCCCGCGTTGCCTGGCACCGAGGACGCCATGTTTGGTAAGGAGATACCAGATACAGTTTGGATTTAGTAGAGAATGAGACTATATTCTGTTTTGCTATAAATTATCAAACACACACATATATACACACACACACACACACACACACACATACACACACACAAAACGAGGTATGACTGGTTAATTATAATAGATTAGCCCAGCCCTCAAGATGGGTGGATTAGAGCCAGAAAAGTTAGGTAACTTGGACTGGACAAGCAGTTCCAACTTTCCTACTTATTAGCCAAGTGAATGTAGTTGGATCTTTTAACTGTTTTGATTGTCTGATCTTACTTGTCAACACCCCTCGTTTTAGGGTCTCTAGCAATAACACACATGAGATGCCCTGCTGACCTCATAGATGTCAGGTATTACTGTGCTGTTCATGTTTTTGGTGTGTCCCAAAGGAGACTGGAATAAAAATTTTGGCAATAGCCAGATAACGGAAGGCAGCACACAATGCAGGGGCTGGGCATGTCACTCATTAGTGTGAATTATGGATTTGTTCCTCATTGGCTGCAGCGTGAGTTCGGGGAGATTCTTACCCTGCTAGAGCTCCTTCTCCACAGGAGCAGTAGGTTGCCTGTGCTGTGGGTATTGCACGTGTCCAATGTGCAGAGCGCCTAGCTCTGTGCACATGCAGCAGGCACTTGTTTGAGCAGAACTCCTGTTATCATCATTGTCAATGTCTAGAGACTGAGTTTCTCTAGAAATACTAAACAGTGCGCTGATGTAAATGGTGTCATATATGGGGCTGGAACATGTATTTAGCATGTATCAGGCCCAACATTCAGTTTCCAACACGAATAAACAAAAAAAATAACATGAGATTTTTTTCATAAAGCCTCATTTGACATTACTTATGATAGGCTGACATCGCATAAATGGAATTACATCCTTGTTAAGGTGAACTGAAATCAAACATGGAACACTGACTTTATAGCACACTGGATGTGTGATAAAAATTGCTGGTAGCAAATGCCATCTATGAATGGGGAGTTCAGATTATACTTTCCAATAACTACACCATCTTTCCGGCCATTTTTTTTGGTGCTAGTGAGCATTGAGTGTTAGACATTTGGCATCAAGGTTAACTTCTTGACTTGTTTTTAGATACTACATGTAGTTTCTTGTTAATATTTACATTCTGGCCTGGAGCTGGTGGCTCATGCCTGTAATCCTAGCTACTCAGGAGGCTGAGATATGAGGATCGCGGTTCAAAGAAGCCAGCCCAGGCAGGAAAGTCCGTGAAACTCTTATCTCCAATAAACCACCAGAACACTGGAAGTGGCGCTGTAGCTCAAGTGGTAGAGCACTAGCCTTGAGCTGAAGACCTGAGGGATAGCACTCAGGCCCTGAATTCAAGTCCCACTCCTGACGAAAATAAATAAATAAACATTAAAAAATTACATTCTGTGGTAGTTTTAGATAAATACCAGAAACAGCAGACTTGGCTTACAGTGCTATTGTTTGCCCTTTTAGATTAGGACATGTCTGTACTGTAGGGTTGAAAGCTAAGAGCAATTCTGGAAAAAAGACTTGTCTTGGTGTTTGAGTAGCTGTTCTTTGTTCCTCTGTGCTTCAACTAGGGATTCTTTGTTTTCTGGTTCACAGCCCTCTTTCTGCAGCAGTGCCACTTTCTGCGGCAGGCTGGCCACTCAGAGAAGGCCATCTCTCTGTTCCAGGCCATGGTTGACTTCACCTTCTTCAAACCTGACAGTGTGAGAGATCTGCCAACTAAAGTACAGGTACCAAGCTCGCCTCTCATGACCATTCTGTGTGTGTGTGTGTGTGTGTGTGTGTGTGTGTGTGTGCAAAGAGAGAGAGAGAAATATTTCCCTGATCCAAGAGAGAGAGAAATATTTCCCTGATCCAAGAGAGAGAGAAATATTTCCCTGATCCAAGAAAAACTCCATGATGAAGCTGGTAAAATACGGATAGATAAAAGAAACCTCTGAGGGGGGAGGGGGGAGGCTGGGAAGGGATGTGAAGGGTAAACAAAGGAGGAGGCTGCAATGCTTGGTAAGAAATGTATGCATTATCCTGCCCATGTAATTGTAACCGCTCTGTACAATATGTTCACAAATAAAATTAAAAAAAAAAAAAAACTCTATCCCTCCCAAATCTAGAGCCTCAGCGATGGCCTTAGTTTTATACCTGGGCCCTGGTTTAAATGCAGGTCCTCGCTATTAGTCAGGGGAGCAGGGGGCATGGCACACTTAGACCTGGGATCACTCTTGAATGCCCTGGAGCTTGTGTTGCTGATACAGTGAAGCCTCCCACTGCCTGCAGTCTTGGCCTGAGTTGCAGATGAAGTTATCTATAGGTTCTTGTCAACACCAGGCCTCACTGAGGTGGGTTCATCTTTTAGATGACAGTGAACATTGTCAGCAGTGTTATCAACAATAAAAACATCTCAGCGCTACTCATGTAAGATAACCTGACACCTTTTTCCACTGAAGGAAATAGTTTTCTGCCCTGCAGGAGGGCAGGGAGGAAGATGGCAGAATAGCTTGAAAGGTCTTTCTGTGTGGGCAAGGACTCCATCATGTGGTAGTTTCATGAATTGCCAGTATAAACCATTTTTATCATAATTTTACCTCTAAACAAAGTTGGCTTAGAGACTCATACCCATTAATATAACTGTGACAGGTTCTTACCAAACCACCAGGTCAAACAATTTTAGGACATGCTCTTATATTTTAAGAATACAATGTGCTCCAGAAGTGATTCTTAGCCAGGGAACTGTGAGCGCTGACCCCCCCACCCCCCACTCTCTGCTAAGCCTGCTGGCTGTCCCCAGGACCTCGCTGGTGGGTAGAGGACCCTGCCCATAGCTGATGCCCTGAGGCCCACCGCTCTGTGATGTCAAATAGTAACAGCGCCTGGCTTTCCCAGCCTTCACAGGACAACTTTGAAGCAACGCTTCTCATGCAACAGTGTCCCCCTTGCCTCTGTAGCTGAGAGACATGGTAACCACCACGCATCAGCATCACTGGTCCGGATTCCCGTGGAGTAACCACACTGGTTGTAGAAGTTATTCTTTTTCTCCAATCACTTTTACAAGGGCAAACCTAAGAAGAGCAAGCAGTCTTCCCAGCCCCTTCCTGGGGTGACAGGCACACACTTGCAGTCTCACGCCCCATCACACCCTTGTTGCCATGCCCTTCGCTGGCTCCTGAGGGACCATGCTGGTCAGCGCGTGCAGCCCTGCCCAGGCTCAGGGAGTGGAGGCCTGGGCCCTCGGCCCACGATGTCCCCGTTGGGAACTTGCTTGTCCTCAAGAGATTTCTTGGAAAAGCTTTTGTGAGAGTAGGTTGTTGGCTCTCTTTCAAAGTCCTGCTGCCAATTGATAAGCGGATCACATTCCTGCTCAGCGCTGTGCTCGCCTTCCATTCCATGGGAATTATTTATTTCCAGTGAGCTGGTTTCCAGGACCTAGTGTCCTGAAGATGGGGGTGGGGTGGGGGTGGAGGAGGGCCCGCAAGGCCTCGCATGTGCATGGATGCCCTGTGCCCACAGTACCTACTGACGCCTTAATAAGCGCTGAGCACCACACTGTTAAGATAAACAGTTACTAACGCGCGAGTTGGTGAGTTTCCTTCCCTTCAAAAGGTCTTGACAACAAATGACTTCAGGTATTGTTAGGGCTCCGGCGGCATGAGAGGCGCCAAGGACGGTGCCACTGTCACTTGTCCCTGGTGAGTTCCCTTGGCAGGATCAGAACCAGGAAGTTAGTGCTCATGCCCAGCTGCAGGCTCCCATTGCCACACCTAGGCCTGGCTTCTCGTGACCTAATCCTGAAGATTAAGTCATCATTTCGCCTGTGCCAGGTCCAGCCCAGCTTCCAGCATGCACAGAGGTAGGGTGAGGTCATGGGCGGCCCACTGAACCAGGTGATTCTTTTGCTGCTTTTGACTCACACATTAGGAGTCCTAGCTTCTAATGCCCAGTGCTCAGCAGTTTTGTACATAGTGGGCCTCACTTGGGGTCTTTTAAACCTCCACAGGTGGAGTTCTTTGAGCCCTTCTGGGACAGCGGGGAGCCCCGGGCCGGGGAGAAGGGCGCCCGGGGCTGGCGGGCCTGGATGCACCAGCAGGAACGGGGTGGCTGGGTGGTCATCAACCCAGGTAAGCCTCCCCCCCCCACCCCCCCAGTAAGGGTAGATATGCTGTTGTCTTCCTATTTGTTTAACTGTAAACACTGCTTATTAGTAACGTAAGGACATTTACAAACATCAGAATGTAAAATAATACATTAAAGTGGATGTCAAGGCAGGCTAGGCTGTTCCTTCCCAGGGCCGCCTGAAAGCGTCTGCCTCCCTCAAGTCTGAGCACCGCTCTCTCCCACGCTCTGCAGACTTGAGCTTCTTTTATCAATGTGTTCTAATAAGAAGCAAGCTTTTGTTATAGCTTCCACCCCCATTCCTTTCTAGTGTGTACTTAAAACACTTTTTGTTCTTCTGGCTATGTATAGATTAACAAATCCTTTGAAAAATCATTGCTTTTTAAGGAGTGTTACAAAAGGATTAACTAGCATGCGTTACACTGTCATTCCACATGACCCAAGTGCTTTACAGATCCACACTGGAGAACAAGGTGGAACGGTGATTGTTACTATCAGGGCAGGGCTCTGTGTGTCCCCTTGGAATTAACAATGTATCGATTACAGAAACTCTTGCATTGAATTTAGTATAGTTCTAAGAATCTAATAGCTCCCCCTCCCCAAACAGGGGGGAAAAAAAGATGGATGGTTCTCTTGTATCTAGAAAATAGGTTGATAATCATCTTTGTTTTTATTTTTAATTTCTCAAATCCATCTTGACACATTTAGCATTTAGAAGGTAATTGGGACTCTATTCTGCATTTCTTCTTCATGTTTTACTTTTACTTCTAGTTATTCTGTTGTTGTTAGGTCTGCCTGTCCAAAGCCATACAATCTTTTGATATATATTTTTTTGTGGGGGGCGGGGGAGTAATACTAGAGTTTGGCTCAGAACCTCACACTTGTTAGACAGGCGCTCTACCTTTGGAGACACACCTGAAGGCATGCCCCTCCCCTACACTTTTGCCTAGATGAGGATGATGATGAGCCAGAAGAAGATGACCAGGAAATCAAAGATAAGACTCTGCCCCGGTGGCAGATCTGGCTTGCTGCTGAGCGTTCCCGGGACCAGAGGCACTGGCGTCCCTGGCGCCCTGATAAGACCAAGAAGCAAATGGAAGACGACTGTGAGGACCCCGAGAGACAGGCAAGTGTCCTGTGCCGCCGGGCACCTGACCTCACTCCCGCCAGGAGGCTGCGGGGCCTCCTCTTGCCCGTGCTCATTTCCTTTGCCCCGGTGATGGGGGAGCAGTGTCCCCTGGTGTAGATCCTATCCCCCAGAGGGAAAGAAGGCTCCTACGGCCACCCTTCTGGAGATGGCCTTCCAGGTCATTCACTTAGGTTTTCTTTTTTTGTCGGTTGTAGGGCCTGAACTCTGGGCCTGGGCGCTGTCCCTCAGCTCTTCAGCTCAAGGCAACCGCTCTACCACTTGAGTCACAGCACCACTTCCATTTTTCTGGTGGTTTGTTGGAGATAAGAGTCTCACGAACTTTGCCTGAGCTGGCTTTGAACCATGATCCTCAGATCTCAGCCTCCTGAGTAGCTAGGATTACAGGCGTGAGTCACCAACGCCCAGCCCCCACTTAGGTTTTCATGTGACCCTGGGGAAGGACTGGCTGTAGATGCAGTTCTATGGTCTGGATCACTGTCGTAGATTCCTTAATTATATCACTGTCCCATCACACTGTTGGGTCTGTGGACATGTACATGCAGCAACTAGATTGGACTGGAAGCCCCAGGGACAGGATGTAGAGGCCATGTTGGGGCAGCTGGCTCACACGGTGTCTTGATGGAGAGGGAGCGAGTGTTGCCCTGTTGACAGTGGGCACTTCACTTGTGCTGTGTCACCTGCCCTCTGGCGTGGGTACCAAGTAGCTGGCAGCTTTTGACGGAAGAAATGCTATGTCAACACCTGCAGCCCTTAAAGTAGTACTGGCTCTAGCTTCTGTGTGACCTGTGATGTGAATAGAACAAGATGTCTTCTTGGTAACCAGGCTCTGTCCCTCCCTGCAAGTGAAGTGCCTTTAGATGGAGGGTTTGTCACCTGTACCTGGAACAGTGCTTATCCTGTGGGAATGCTCCTGGATGCTGAAAAGATACTTGATGGGAGCTTGACGGCTGCAGTGTGCCAGCATTTGGGGGTGATGCGTGAGATGGCCAGGCTGGAGTTAGGCTGCAGAGGAGTGGGCATGAGGAGGTGCAGCCTCCAGGGACACCTTCCCCCTCTGGCCTGACGTAGGGAGGAGAGCAGGGGGTGTGAACCTACCCCAGAGTCCTCTTTCCTGGTGGGAGCTGAAGGCATGGAGGAGGGCAACATCTTTTCTTGGCACTAGAGGAGTCTGTAGACTTCATGGTCGGCTTGCAAGTTGTTTTTCAAGGTTCAGAATTTCGTTTGTCCCCTGGAAGCAGATTTCAGAGCAAATGGCTGTTATGAGCAGTATCTGGTCATTTAGCTTTTTCTCTTAATGGAAGCCTGAGGGTTTGCTCATTTTACTGTGCTTATGTTCTGAGGTCCTCTGCTGAGAGACATAACCAGCCAGCCAAAGAGAACCTTGAGACAAAGGATAGTGTCTTTGGCTGGATGTCAAAAAGGAGCTACATGAAATCAGCTGCGAACATGCACCACTGTATTGGTTTCTTTTCGTTGCTAGTCACACACTCCATTGCTCCTGTTCCCTTCTTACTTGTGCCCGTCTGTCTCAAGCAGATTTCCTGAAGTAATCTGTGGTCAAATAAATTACAAATAGTAAATCATCCTTATTGAAGACAAAATAATTTGCCAAACTAACTACAAAGCAATTGTGTCGTTCTAAGGGAACCTGACTAGGTTTTCTGAAACTCTAGCTGGATGCTGGGAAAGCTGTCAGCTTCAGCCTCTTGGTCCCTCCCTCCCTCCTTGCTCCTCCCCGCCCAGCATTGCAGGGAATTGGGGGGGGGTGCCCAGGCATCCCATCCCCTGCCATTGGGGCTGTTCTCCAGCTTCTAGATTGTCTTTTGTGTTTTGTAGAATTCTTAGCTCCTATTTAAGATCTATTCTGAGTAATGTTGATTCATTAGTACACTGCATAGAGTTATGAGGCGCTTACTAGCTTGATTAAACAGGTCCCGGATTCTGCCTTTGTTGCAGGTGCTGTTTGATGATATTGGGCAGTCTCTGATCAGACTCTCCAGCCAGGCTCTGCAGTTCCAGCTGATCGAGGCTTTCCTGCAGTTCCTGGGCGTGCCTTCAGGCTTCATCCCACCGGCCTCCTGCCTTTACCTGGCCATGGATGAGAGCAGCATCTTCAGTAGTGGACTCTACGATGAAAAGCCCTTGACAGCCTTTGATTTTTCATTTTTGGGCATCAGCTGTGTTGGCCACATGGACCAGTTGGGCTGTCTGCGGTGGACCCGCGGTCACAACCGAGAGGGCGAGGAGTTCATCCGCAATGTCTTCCACCTCGTGATGCCCTTGTTCTCAGGGAAGCAGAAGTCTCAACTTTGCTTCTCCTGGCTGCGGTATGAGATGGCAAAGGTAACTTCGCATCCCTTCCCCCGTCCCCCTCCCCCTCCCGTGGGGCCTTCTCTCTTGTATCAGATCCAGTACCAGATCCAGTATAGGCTCCTTTGAGTACTGTGTCCCAGTCCTTCCTTTTTTTCAGGGACTGCTGATGGCACCTCAGGCATGGCTCCCTCCACTTCCCCCACCCTCCAGGAAGAGGAGGCTAGCAGGCACCAGCCCCCATCTCAGGGACTGGAGCTGTCTGCTGTGTGAAGACTTGTCTTACCAGATGTCTATGATGATTCGGGCACTTAGTGTTAAGAACCAAAATAAGCTTAAGTGGGGTTAGAGGATTTAGGGCTTATTAGAATAGAGAAAATAAGCTACTTATCCTGTGATTTGTAACTATCTGTTGAAAAATTAGTCTCCATCTAGAGTGCTGCCCTCTGCTGGCCACTCTTAGTATTGACTCCTAACACCCAAAGTTCTCCAGCTAACTACTTACTACAATTTAAATATACCAGATTGTTTTAAAATAGTGTCTTTGAAGGAGGGTGCCAGTGGCTCATACCTGTAATCCTAGAAGCTCAGGAGGCTAGGATCTGAGGATTGTTGTTCAAAGCCAGCCCATACAAGAAAGTCCATGAGACTGCTATTTCCAATTAACCACCAGAAAACCAGAAGTGGTGCTGTGGCTCAAAGTGGTAGAGCACTAGCCTTGAGCAAAAAAAAAGCTTTGGAACAGTGCCCAGGCCTTGAGTTTAAGTCTCACAACCAACCTCCCCCCAGCCCACTCCTCCCCAAAAAAGTGTCTTTGGTAAAGTGTAGTGACCTAATCTCTTTGGAAAAGAAAATTTGGAGCATAGCAGCCTTAAAGTCCCAATTTCTTTCTCAGCAGAGAGAGTTTCCATGTTTTATTAGATATGTAATAAAAGAAGTACAGGCGTCTTTACATTGCCAGGGCTTCCTGAAGTTACAGTGTTTGGTTTCCTGGAATTCTAGAGCACTGAAAGTCATTCTTTTCTTCTGTGTGTATGTAGGTCATTTGGTGTCTGCACACTAAAAACAAGAAGAGATTAAAGTCACAGGGGAAGAACTGCAAAAAACTAGCCAAGAATCTCCTCAAGGAGCCAGAAAACCGGAACAATTTTTGCCTCTGGAAGCAGTATGCACATCTGGAATGGTTGCTTGGCAACATAGAGGATGCCAGGAAGGTTTTTGATACAGCACTCAGCATGGCAGGCAGCAGTGAGCTGAAGGACCGTGAGCTGTGCGAGCTCAGTCTGCTCTATGCCGAGCTGGAGGTGGAGCAGCTGCCAGGCTCCAGAGAAACGGCCACAGCCCGGGCTGTTCATGTACTAACCCAATTGACTGAGAGCAGCCCCTCTGGGCCATATGTTGGGCAGGTAGTGGCCACTCGGGTTTTGAAAGCTCGGAAGGCTTACGAGCATGCACTGCAGGATTGTCTAGGTGAGAGCCATGTTTCTGATGGAGCTCCTGCCGATTCCTTGGACTGCCTGTGTAGTTTGGTCCGGTGCTTTATGCTCTTCCAGTATTTGACCATAGGAATCGATGCAGCTGTGAGGCTATATGAACAGGTGTTTGCCAAACTGAAGGACTCCATTTCTCCAGAGAGCCTTGGCCTGAAGGACCAGAGCCACCCCCAGAGTTTGAGCAGTGTTCTAGAAGCTGTCAGCCTGATGCACACAAGTCTGCTGCAATTCCACATGAGAGTGAGTGTTTACCCGCTGACTCCACTTCGAGACGCCCTCTCGGAGGCTTTGAAGCTATATCCGGGCAACCAGCTGCTTTGGCGGTCTTATGTACAGATTCAGAGTAAGTCCCACAATGCCAGCAAGACCAGGAGATTCTTCGATACAATCACCAGGTCTGCCAGACACTTGGAGCCATGGTTGTTTGCAATTGAAGTGGAGAAGCTGAGGAAAAGCCTGGTGGAGACCGTTCGGAGGTAATTACAGGCCACCTCTCTCATGTGCTTCACAAGCCTTTCTGCAGTGAGTGCTGCCTCCTCCTGTCTGCCAGGCCTCCATAGCACAGCCGTGGCTGTGGCACAAGGCCAGGACCCCCTGCTGTGGTGCTCTAGTGGATCACAGAGTAGATAACTGATAGAGGAACATGACACTTAGAAGGTAGACCCATCCCTCCCTAGAGGCTGGGTGGCTGACTTCCTGGGCCAGCCATCTTGGGAACCTGGCTGCTGTTTCTGTGTGCAGGGGGAGGCTCAGGGGGTCTCAAGCTGAATTGAGCATAGTTGAGCACAGGCTCTGGAGGTCAGCTCTCTGATCTTAAGTGTGGGCTCTGCCACTTAGTGCTGGGTGGCCTCAGGCTGTCAGTCACTTGACCTCTAGCAGGTTCCTCATCTGCCAGTGAAATAATGAAGAAGCCGGAGGTGCCAATGAGGTCAGTGCTTGGCACAGACCAGTGCATAGTAATTGCGAGGCTTCTTGAAGTGTCACGCTTTCCATCGAGGATATTACGTGTGCAGATTAGTAATTGTTTAGGCATCATTGTTCATTGTGGAATCTCTGCTGATATTTCAGTGCAGCCTTATAAACGAGGCTAAACTGCCTTTGCGTGGTATTTCAGTTTGCTTATTCCTTATTTCTTCCATTATTTTGCTCACTCTGCCTGAGTCTTACTTTGTCTACTTGCAACCAAAAGGGTTTCCTTCCCAGAGCGTGAGATTGCGTTCTGATCATAGGCGAGGTTTGCCGACAGTGCTGTAGGCTGTGTGGAGCGGCAGCGCCGATCGCCGCCCCCAGACACACGCTCGGGCAGGGTGCCATCCTCCGCCATACTGCAGCGACGGAGGGGAGAGGACGCGCCTGGGCTACATGACACCTTGTCTTACAGGGTGGGCGGTAGAGAGATCCACGCCACCATCCCCGAGACGGGCCTCACACATCGGATCCGAGCCCTCTTTGAGAACGCTATGCGGAGCCACAGTGGCAGCCAGTGCCCCTTGCTGTGGAGGATGTACTTGAAGTTTTTGGTAAGATGATACTTTGACACCATTTCGTTTTGACAGCTCTAACTTTTTCCTTCAAAAGTGACAAAAAAGCAAGTGTGAAGGCTGAGGGGGGCCTCCCATTCGCCCTCACACCCCCAGTCTCACAAGCTTGCTGTGGTTCAATCCTTAAGGACCCGGATGGAGTAATGGCTGAGGCTCAGTGAGGACACAGCCATGTGGCTGGCAGAGACCAGGCAAAGAAGCCTTGTTGGAACAAACCAGAAAGATGGCTACACCCTAGCTAATCTGACCAGAAGTGGGAGGGAAAAGACCCAAAGGGGACATCACAGCTAACACAAGTGAAATCCTGAGGATCGTGAGGAAATACTTTGAAATGCAAACTATATTCAAATGAGCTGGAAAATCTGAGAGGTGGTACACTTTTAGATGCACTTAAATTTCCAAAACTGAAATAGGAGAAGTGACTTAAATAGGCCTATAACAAGCAGTGAGATTTAAGCAGTAATAATCTGCTAACAAAGAAGAGCTCAGGAGCTGAGGATTTACTGCCCAAGTCTATCAGACATTTAAAGAACTAACACTAGTACTCCTCAGACTTTTCCATAAGCTAGAAAGGAGAGGAATGCTAGATTCATGAAGGATAATCCTCATCCCCAAACCAGACAAGGTCACAGCATAAAAAGAAAATAGAACAATTGTCTGAATAAAATACTTGCAAATCCAACATTAAAAAAGGTCGTCCACCATAACCAAGCTTAGAGAGAAAACCAGCTGAAAACATGGATAGTCTCAGACTTTCTTTTTAAAGCAAAAGCGACCCAGAAGTTAATTTCAGAAAGGAATGCTACTCCGTAGAGCACCCTAGATTTTAGGTATAGAGAGAATATTCCAAGACTAAAATTTCTGATGTGTAGTCTTACTTTTAATAAGATAAAAACCTATTAAGTAAAGCTATCTTTTTTGTTATCTGTGTGTGTGTGTGTGTGTGTGTGTGTGTGTCTGTGTGTCTCCCTCTGTCCCTGTCCTGGGCCTAGGAGCACTTTATCACTTGAGCCACAGCTCCACTTCTGGCTGTGGGTATTTAACTGGAGGTAAATCTCACAGACTTTCCTGCCCAGGCTGGCTTCAAACTGTAATCCTCTCATCTCAGCCTCCAGAGTAGCTAGGATTACAGGCATGAGCCACTGGCACCTAGCTTTATTGTTTTTAATTTGAGAAAGGGTCTCCTTATGTAGCACAGGCTGCATTGAAACTCACGATCTTCTCGTTTTAGCCTCCTGAATGCTACGGTTCTGCATTATCATAATCCCAGGCCTGGTGGTTTGATTTCTCTAAAAGATAATTTTCATAAGATGGCAAAGATTAAAAGCAAAATGTCCTCATTCGCACAAGGTCATCAGCCTTACCTCAGTGACAACCTCATTTCAAGTGCTGTTACTACAGCCAGGATATAATAGCTCCAATAAAGGAGACATAGGGCTTCCAAAGTCAGAAGTGATTTGGGCAAAGGTGGCTAACGCATGTAATCCATGTACTCAGGAGGCTGAGATCTGAGGACCAAGGAGGTTTAAAGCCAGCAATGGCAGGAAAGTCCATGAGACTCCAGTTAACCACCAGAAAACAGGAAGTGGTGCTGTGGCTCAAAGTGGTAGAGCATTATTAGCCTTGAGCGAAAAAGCTCAGGAACAGTGCTCAGGCCGAGTTCAAGCCCCATGACTGACAAATAAAAAGTCCCAAGTGTTAAACATCACCACTCTGGTGCTGTGTGGATGGCTTGGCTGTGGTGGCTGAGCTGGTTCTCTGGTTAGCTGGGCTCCATTCCCCTCAGCTACTCTGATGGAGCCAACTTCCCACACAGGTCAACAATATTGGGGACCACATGCAGATTGTACAGATTTTTTTTGTCTTAGTCTCCAATTGATCCTACTTTGTCCTCTTGCCTTAGGTTTCCCTAGGAAACAAAGAAAGAAGCAAAGGTGTGTTCTACAAAGCACTTCAACATTGCCCTTGGGCAAAGGTGAGTTTTAAAACACTGACCTAGCTTCAGTTGAACTAGGCCCTTCCCAGACACTGGCTCAGTCCAGCCAGTGTCATCTGAGACTTAACTTAGCTCTGGGAGTGCAGTACCCCATCCTGAGCCTGTCCAGGGTCTTTTCCTAGTGAAACAGAGCCCTGTGGAATCTGAGCCTTGTCTCCCTTCCTTGCCCTGGAGCAGGTCTTTGGAATACAGCTATGGTTCTCCAGCTTCCCACCATCTTCCCAGTTGGGCTCCATGTCCCAGCCCAGTCAGGAGACACCTGACCAAGCGGACGGTGTCTGCAGTGTCTGCCGCTCTGGCTGTAGTTGTATGGAACCTGAGCAGAAGGGGCAGGCTAAGGGGAATGGAGGGCACCTTCAAGGCCCCACGCCTTGTTCTCAGAGCTCTTCCATACTCGGCAAGTACTGGCAGTGAGGCTAAGTGTTTCTTTGTCGATAGGTGCTGTACATGGATGCCATGGAATACTTCCCTGGTGAGCTGCAGGAGATCCTGGATCTGATGACTGAGAAGGAGCTCCGAGTGCGCATGCCCATGGAGGAGCTGGAGCTCCTGCTGGAGGACTAGAACCTGGCTGCCAGCTGCGTGGTTCTAGAACAAGGGATCGTGTGGGATGGAGCACAGAACTACAAGTGTTTCTGTCATTTGTGTCTGGATGTATAAATGACACAAAGGCTATTCTGCATATTATATATGTGACAGTGTACATGTGTTGAGTTGAATCATACCAATGGCAATGAAATCTTTGTGGTTAAGGTGTACATGCCTTCCTGTTCTCTCTGGTCCTGTCCAACCACCTCTGGTTCTGCCACCTTGTGGATAGCTCTCAGTGCTGCCTGCTTTTCCATTAAGCTGCCCCCTGAATCTCAGTGCTGACCTTACCCTGGGGACCTGGAATGGCCTGTACAAGCGGGCAGTGCCTGAGCAGCTCCTCACATCGAGTGCTATACTATCAAGGGTTGGCTCTGGGTAGATGTTGAGTAGAAAAGAGATGGAGAGAGAACCTTAGATTAAAAAAAAAAAAAAAAGTTCTGTTTCAGTTGGCGACAGGAAAGTCTGAAAGACGACTGAGACTCCTCCCAACTCATAGACAAATGTGGTGGGCAGGCAAAGAGTTTTGAGCTCATCCAAGGCAAAAGGACCGTTGCCCATGTTTGTCAGGAGCTGGTTATTTTCTCTGGAAGTGCTCATCACATCACACCACAGGGTCAGACCCAACCTGGCTCTACACAATGCCCTTCTTCCCTCCCTCCCTCTGGAGAGACACAGGGCCCACATGTGTTGCTGAGCTGCGGGGGACCAGGAATTGCTCAGGTGGCTTCTGCTGTGTCAGGTACAAGGGGCTGCTCTGTGGGTGCTACTTACAATACACATTTGTTGTCTTACTTCCAAAAGAGAAGACATGGTAGCCCTTGGCACAGGCCAACCACTTGCTGCAGTGGGAGCTATCAGTTCTCTCTAAAATGTCTCTCCAGAGAAAGGGCTTCAAGAACCAGTGGCTTTCTATAGGCAGGCAGATGGTCTGTCCTGCTCCCCAGGTGTCAGCAGCCAGGAAGAAAGTGCTCTCTGAAAACCCTCTTGTTGCTCAAGTCCTGACTGAGCTTTGAGGGACCTGACCCCTGCTCTGCTGGAGAGCGGCCTCTGAAGGTAGGAAATGCCCCTAGCTGGTGGCAAGCAAACAGGTTTTCCTCTGGTCTTCAGAGATGAACACAGTCCTGCAGACAGGCTAGTTCCCCACCCCACCCTACCCTGGTTTTGATCTCGAACTGAGAGAAATGTGCATTAAGCTGAGTCCATGGTAACTCGTCATGCTGGTAGTAAATTCATACATGTCTTCCCCCAGACCAACATGAATGCTTCTCTTGGAGACCAGAGCACACTGCTAAGCTGGCTGACTCTGGGCTCTCTCCCCCCCCTTCCCCTCCCCCAGCCTGGGGCCATGAAGCCTGGGCTCCAACAGGCTTCCCCAGAGCTGGGCCCTCAGTGTGGCGATGCCAAGTGGACTGTTTGTGAGAAGCACACTTTATTGGGACACAGAGTGCAGCACAGCACAGTGAGCAGACAGAGACTGCCTGACGGGCAACCTACAAGCCACACTCCCAAAACAAAGGGTGTTCTGTAATAAAATCCAACTGACCCATGGATTCCTTGGGGCAGCCCTCACTGCATCCCACTGAAGGACCAGGGAAACGCCAGCACCTTCCTGAGGCTGCTGTGGGTCCTAGAGATAGAGCCCCTCAGGCGTGCCTTCTTGTTTCTTATAAAGAACGTTTTCTTTAGATTTTTTGAAGTCTTCATTTGTTACTTTCATTCTGCGTTCTCTCAAGGCCATCAGACCAGCTTCTGTACAAATTGCCTGAAAGAAACAACATTATGTTCAGAAAGCAGAATGCTTATTTTTATCTTAGAGAGCTCTGAAATAAGGTTTAAGACAAACTAGGAACAGATTATTTTTTCAATGTTTTAAGCACATTATTGATTTTCAGAAAGGATCTGAAATGACTTAAACAATATTTATAACTGGTCGGGAAGCAGGGATGCAGGTTCTAAGTTTTTCCTTTTTTTTTTTTCGGGGGGAGGGGGTGGCAATCTGGGACTTGAACCCAGGGCCTAAGCTTTTTTGCTCAAGGCTAGTGCTCTACCACTTGAGCCACAGCTCTACTTCCAGCCCCTCCCCCCCCTTCTTTTTGGTGGTTAGTTGGAGATGAGTCTTAGGGACTTTGCTGCTTGGGCTGGCTTTGAACTGTGATCCTGAGATCTTAGCCTCCTGAGTTGCTAGGATTACAGGCAAAAGCCACAGTGCCTGGCAGACTCTAAGACTCAATTTCTAACAAGCTGAGTGGCTTCCCAGTCAATAGATTCCTGTAAATCCACTTTTATTAATGGGAATACTACTAGGAAACAGAGAATAGAGCAAAGGCAGACACACACAAACGCACGCACGCACGCGTGTTTTCTCATCTGGTTCAAAAGAGAAACCCATAGTATCTACAGGTTCCAAGGAACCCCCACATTGAGGAAACAAAACACTAAATATATGCACATTCAGAACAAGGCCTGTACTATGATTGATTGATTCATTTTCCCGTTACTGCCTAACTTCTGCTAAAGACACACCACATTCCAACAAATCTTAAATGGTCGCCTTTCACCTAAATAGCACATGAATTTTTTATCTTGCTTTTGACGAAGGCATATTTCACACATCTGAGGACAGGGAAATGGGCAGATGACCCAATTTACACAAACTGCTAATAACATAGGATTTGTTCTCATCAACTGAGCTTCATGATGCAGAAATGGGAATTCAAAACTTTTGTCTTTGAAATTTCTTTTGGTTTTATAAATGTATGATTATTTGAATTTACCCCTGAGGTGCCATATTGGAGCTTGAGCACAGGGCCTCACACTTGCTAGGTAAGCCTTACCACTTGCCTCTAGATACTATGTTTCGGCTGGGCTTGGTCAAAACCATGTGCGATAAACTCCCACGTGGGCTTACTGTACTGTAAGTTGAGAGTACAGAATTGACTATTCTTTCAGTAATTACTTGCCCAAAGTGAAACGAAACAAGAACTCTTGTAACGTGACAAAGCATGATTGATTTCGGCCCTGAAAGTTCTCTCTGGTGACAGACGTGAGGTTATTTACTTCGAAGGGTCCAGCCAAAACTCGGACGTGTTTGTGCACAGAAACAGCTACGATTTATTTGCAAGCTTTGAGGAACACTGCCACAACGAAACAGTGGCACAGCCCCTTCCATTCATCAGCCATTCATAAACTACGTGATACCATGGTGTACACTGTTTTCTGAAGGCTTAAGTTTCAAAATAAGTTGCCGTAAAAATGAAAACAATTCCTATTAAATAAGGAAGACAGGTTTTTTTCCTCCCTGACTAAACCACTAAGGTAGTATGGGACTGATTGGACTGATGGGATGATCCCAAGGATCAGCAGGCATTGGCCTGGAGATGCACCTGTCCCCTTCCTCCCCAGCCATGACCTTGTGCTGCTCAGGACCTATACTCACTGCTGCCAGGCCTGGGCATCTGGGAAGAAATGTCTTAACTCCTAAGACTTGTGATGTGATCAAGGGCTATAATCCGGTACAGCCCAGCACAACACAAAGCAGGAGCACAAATGCAGTGGTGCTGACCCCGTGGCAGCTCTGGGGACTTCTCCAGCAGACTCAGATCTGGGACCAAGTGACACACACACACAAGCACGTCACCTTGGCCCTGGTGCAGGGAGGAGACAAGTTTAGTGCAGTGATTTATCCTTGTTGCTATGAGGGTTTGGGGTTATTTCCTAATTTGAATCATAAGTGACTTCAGATAAAAAGCAAAACTACCACTTGAATGTAAAGTAAACCAACAGGTAATGGCAACTGAACTATCAGATATCCATCCACACGTCAGACCCAAACAAACTCCAAGAGCTCAGTCTTCCTTAACAGATGGGCCACACTTCCAGAGATGAGTCTGCTCAGCCTAGTTACCTTGATGTCAGCCCCAGAGAGGTCATCCTTTGCCATGATCAAGTCATCTAGAGTCACGTCATCAGCCAGCGTCATCCTGCTTGTGTGAATCTGGAAGATACGCTTCTTTGTCTTCTCATCAGGCAGGGGGAACTCAATCTTTCTGTCAATGCGGCCTGCAGGCAGGCACAAAGCCTTCAGTCACATGCCATATGGACCCAGCCTCATCCTGTCCCCTTACACCCATCCTTCAGATGTGGAACATCTGTGGAATGACATTCAAGCCTTACAAAGCAAACAATCGTTTCTGTACTGTGTAAATTTCTACATTTGAATTCATCCATTAAAAGCCTATAGAAATAAAGGAGCAGTTCATGAATAGCGTATTTACTGACAAAGGCTAGACCTTTATTCTTTAGCTCTTTAGACTAAAAGGGAGTCTTTATTATGAGGACAGAAAGCCTATAATGGAAGAGTGGAATTCAAAGTGCCAATCTGCACAGACTGTGATCTCAACCTATTCAAGTTTTACTATATTTGCTATTATGTTTCATTTTATAATTCCCCCCAAACACACAACACAAATATACAGACATCAGTTCTCCGTGATGAAACAAGAGCAAATTTAACCTGGTCTGATCAGTGCTGGATCCAAAGTTTCTATCCGGTTAGTGGCCATGATAACTTTCACATCCCCCCTTGAATCAAAGCCATCCAGCTGGTTCAACAACTCCAGCATGGTTCGCTGAATTTCTCTCTCACCTCCAGAATTTGAATCGTACCTTTGAAAAGGAGAGAAAAAAATAAGCCCCATGTGATATGCAAAGGGGAGTTTTGCAAGATGCACCAGGATACACCCTCAATCCCATGGCCACTCCCTTTTTGTGTATGATCTGCCAGCCTGACAGTGACCCTCAAAGGCAGAAACGGCCATGTTCCCAGTCCTGATGGTTTAACTCAGGAAGTAAGTGCTCAAGCTGTAGTTAGTCACAGATGACTGATTTCTAGGTGCTCCCAGCTTCTGGGGAGCAATCATCTGGTCTGGAGAGCAGAGCCTAAGAATCCAGCAAGAGCTTGCTACCTCAAGAGCCAAGATCATTCCCAGAATAGAACTGTACAGTTTTCTCTCTGGGTAACACAAAATAGGTAAGGGCAAATGTACCTTTTGGTCCCAATGGCATCGATTTCATCAATAAACACGATGGATGGTGCGTGTTCTTCTGCAACTCGAAACAATTCCCGTACAAGTTTGGGCCCATCGCCTAGGTACTTCTGAATAAGTTCTGAGCCCACCACTCTCAAGAAAGTGGCTGAGGTTTGATTTGCTACTGCTTTAGCTAACAGAGTTTTACCTGTTTTAGATAAAAGGAAAAAAAAAAAAGGGAAAAAGCCCTCAGTGTGATTCTAAGTTAGACATGCTTGCTGAGGTGGGAGGCTGCAGCGTTGAAAGTACGCTTCTACTGGGCGTTTGGACACTGCCGCCTTAATCCACTGACACATTCTGAGCGCTGCAAAAAACTTTTTCTGAACTCCTCATGACAATGTCAAAAAATCTTTTTTTTTTGGCACCAGTCCTGATGCTTGAACTAGGACCTGGGTGCTGTCAGAGTATCATTTTGCTCAAGGCTAGTACTCTGCCGCTTGAGCCACAAGCTGCATTTTGCTGCATTCCCAGCTTTTCTCTTGACTACCTGGAGATAAGTCTCATGGACTTTCCTGCCCAGGCTGGCTTCAAACAGTGATCCTTAGGTCTCAGCCTCCGTCTTAAACTAGGGAACTGTAGTGTCCTCACTGGTCAGGTTAGTAATTATAAACAATCAATTCTGCTGCTCAAGGTAAGAGCTGAGCTAGGCATCATGGCACACGCTAATAATTCCAGCATCTGGGAGGCTGAGACAGAAGAACTGTGAGTTTTGAGGCCAGTCTAGGCTGCACAGTGAGAACTTGTCTCAAAAAAAGGACTAACGGATGTAGCTCAATGATGGAGTATAGACTTTGCCAGGGCTAGGTTCATTTCCAGCACTATCTAGGTAGATATAGAGACAGATATATAAGTAAATCAATAGCTGAGTGTGTACGGCATCAAACAGAACAAACCTGTGCCAGGTGGACCATAGAGAATGACTCCCTTAGGGGGTTTTATACCCATCTCTTCATAATATTCAGGATGGGTGAGAGGCAACTCCACAGATTCCTACAGAGGAGAAACACTTGGTAAGAATGAGGCTTTCTTACTAAAATTATTAGCATTATCTAACATCATGAGAAGATCTCAATTGTACCAACAGTGAGGAAAAATGTCCTAAGCTCAGACGCAGCAGCTGAAGAGACATAGGTCCCGCCTGAGCTCTTCGAAGCCATTTTTTTTTTTTTTGGTCGGCCGTGGGGCTTGAACTCTGGGCCTGGGTGCTGTCCATCAGCTCTTCAGCTCAAGGCAAGCGCTCTACCACTTGAGCTACAGCGCCACTTCCGGTTTTCTGGTTGTTTATTGGAGATAGGAGTCTCACGGTCTCTCCTGCCCGGGCTGGCTTTGAACCGCAATCCTCAGATCTCAGCCTCCTGAGTAGCTAGGATTACAGGCGTGAGCCACCAGCGCCCGGCTAGCCATCACATTTCTAAGTTACACCTAGTGTCTCTCTTTAATTTCCGATAGAGTCAGTCCTAAGCAACATTTAAGCTGTTCTTGTGCAAGAGTGTCTTAAGAAAGCTAAAATTCACCCTCTTGATCAAACAACAGAAAGGACCTGGAAGGACTTCCTGATGGCTATCCCCCTCGGGAGATAGTACATATTTCCAACTGTCTGAGAGGAGATCTGTGATGGCCTGAATGAATTCCCTAGGGATCAAAGAACCTGAAGTCTACAGACCCACAGCCATACACCAATGCCAAAGACCACTGAAGATCGGGATTATGTGCTATACCCCACCACTATATCTTGTACAGGTAGTGTCAAAGTCAGCACGATGGGAAGTAACATGTCTTCACCTAGATCATTCACTAACCATTACACAGGAAAGTATTAGACTATAGCTGATGCAGGAACACGTAATCTACTGTTATTTCTACTATCAAACTCAGTGTTAACAAACAAGGAACTCTACAACTGGTAAGCTCTGAGTCAGTAACTGGTCTGACCAATAAAGAAAAACAAGTGTACGTAACACGTCAAAAGTGCCCTACCTGGAATAATCATAAGTCTTAAAAATGCAGTGCTGGTGCCCCACCATACCTTAATTTCCTGGATTTGGTTGTCTAAGCCCCCAATATCTGCATATGTCTCCTGGGGAGCCTTTTCCACCTTCATCACTGTGACCAGGGGGTCTGTGTCATCCATCAGCACCCCTATCACTGCGTGCACCTGGCAACAACAGCACAAGTTAACAGACCCCACACAGTGCGGGTCCAGAGCTCTTCTCCCCACCCCCGGCACCGCTTAGTACCACGCCACAGAACGGGTGGATGGACCTCAGAGGAAGAACAAAGTTCCATGGCGCCCTTAGAGACGTAGCAATTCACCTTGTGGTTGAGCAGGACTGAGCAGCCTGGTTCCAGCAGATCTTTGTCCACGAATGAAAGGATGCTGACGTAGTGCTCAGAGCCCACAGATGTAGACACGATGGCATGATTGTCATCGATGATCTCCTCCAAGGTGCCTACTGACATCGGGGTCCCCCTCAGGTCATCCACCTTGGATCTTTCCTCCTATACAATAACGTTCCACAAACGAAAAGCAGCTTAGACCTAAATGGCAGAGGATCTTGACTGTACTAGATTTACAAAGGTAGCTAAGAAGGCTTCATAAAACTTGGCACAGTCCAGTCACTTGAACACATTTACTTATGGGTAGTTATAGGTTCTAAGTAGAATTCATTTTGTTAAAAAAAAAAAAAAAAGACAGTAACTTCTCTTCTTACCTCTTGCTTTTCTTCTAATGGTTTCATTTGTTCCTGATTTCTAATAAATTCTTCCTCCATGAGAAGATAGTCTTTAATTCTCTCTAACTTCAGTAATTTTAAGCGGCACTGAGTGTGAGGTGTCACTGCAATTAAACAATAAGGTTTTAACTGAAGACCTTGCTGAAGAATGGTTACATAATAAACTTGGATTTTTTCCACTAATGTAAATTACAGTATCTGGGTGTTACTGGAACCACACATAAATACTTATTTTATGCCCCCCGCCCCCCCCAAAAGGTTTTACTCTATTTGGAACTTAAAGTTTTTAATTAAGCAAAAATTTCAGGAATTTAATATCGGCTCATTTTAGCTGGAAAGATTCTGAAAACATCCAAATTGTGTTAACTTTAAGCATTCATATACTAAAACAAAAAGGAGACATAGGCTCTAGAATTTCTAACCAAGCATCTGAAAATAGGGACAAGGTTTATGGCTAAATAAGCAGTGTAAAATAACCAATCCTGACTCAACAGAATAGTCTATATGCTTCAAGAAGAAAGAAACCATTGGCTGGGCAAGGTGGCTTACCCCTATAGTCCCAACCATTTGGAAGGCAGACTGAGAGGACTGCAGTTTGAGGCTAGCAGAGACAAAAATTTCTTGAGATTTTTCATCTCAACAAACAAGCCAGATGAGGTTGCATGACTATAATCTCAGGTAGTCTGAGGCTAGCACCGGGCAAAATTGCAAGCCTTTATCTGAAAAATAAACTAAAGGAAAAGAAGGGGCTAGGGCTCAAGTGGTGCAGCACCTGCCTAGCAAGCACAAGACTCTGAGTTCAAATCCCAGTACCTGAGTGAGTGGGAAAGGGAAGGAGGGAGAGAGAAAGAAAGGGAGGGAGGGAGGGAAGGAAGGAAGAAAAGAAAAAAGGTAAGGCAAGGTAAGAAAAGGGAAGAGAAGGGGCTGGGAAGGTGGCTCAGTGGTAGAGCGCTTGCCTTGCATGCATGAGGCCCTGGTTTCGATTCCTTAGCACCACATAAGCAAAAAGAAAAAAGCAGGAAATGGCGCTGTGGCTCAAGTGGTAGAGCGCTAGCCTTGAGCTGAAGAGCTGAGGGACAGTGCCCAGGCCCAGAATTCAGGCCCCACGACCAGACCCCCCCCAAAAAAAAAAGAAAGGAAAGAGAAAGAAAGAAATGAAGAGAGATAAGGAGGGAGGGAGGGAGAGGAGAAAGAGAGGAAAAGCCACTGACCCCAAACCATTTGTTTTTCTCCCACATACACTAATAAGAAGTTACATGTGCTGCCCAGCCAGCCTACTATGTATACAGCGTTGTGGACAGCTAGAATGTGCATACAGATTCTGCAGTATCAGAGATACTTTCTTTGTTACACATTGGCAAAGTATATTCCACATTCTTTCTTTTGCCTTTGTTTTGAAGACTCATACCCCAAAATAATTTTATCATTCATATGAATTGGCAGATTTCTATCAAGCTTTTCTTTTATGATTTCTGGAATTTTCCGTCTACTTCAGAAGGCCTCTATTCATCTAAGGTTAAATATATTCCTCAATTTTCATCTATTTCCTTATGTATATTTGTAATCCACCTGACATGAGACAATCGATCTAATTTTATTTTTTCTAGATGGAAAATAAATGCCAGCCATTTTTTTTTGGGGGTCCGGTCGTGGGGCCTGAACTCTGGGCCTGGGCACTGTCCCTTAGCTCTTCAGCTCAAGGGTAGCGCTCTACCACTTGAGCCACAACGCCACATCTGGCTTTTTTTTTTTTTTTCACTTATGTGGTGCTGAGGAAATGAACCCAGGGCCTCAGGCATGCAAGGCAAGTGCTCTACCACTGAGCTACCTTCCCAGCCCAATGCCAGCCATTTTTATTAAGTAACCTTCCCCATTCTCCACAGAATTGAAAATTTTACTTGGAACATGCACTAACTATCCATGTGACATGACTTTTTTGTGGTGTGTGCCTACCCTGGGCTTACACTCAAGGCCTTCACTCTGTTTCTGAGTTTTTGTGCTCAAGTCTAGCATTCTATCTTTGGAGCCACACTTCCATTTCCAGCTTCTTGGTGGTTAATTGGACATAAACAGTATCACATCTTCTTCCTGAGTTGGCTCAGGTCTCAGCCTCATGAACAGCTGGATTTTACAGGCATGGGACACTGCATCTAGATGACTGGACTCTTGAACTTCCTACTCTCTTCTGTTGACTTAGTCATCTCGTTCTGTACCAGTACCATATTGTCACATTACAGTAGAATTAGTATTACTGTCTGACTCCCTGTATTCTTTTTTTTTTTGGGGGTCCGGTCGTGGGGCCTGAACTCTGGGGCTGGGTGCTGTCCCTCTGCTCTTCAGCTCAAGGCTAGCACGCTACCACTTGAGCCATAGCACCACTTCCAGCTTTTTTTTTTCCTGCTTATGTGGTGCTAAGGAATCGAAACCATGGCCTCATTCATGCAAGGCAAGTGCTCTACCACTGAGCCACAGTCTCAGCCCCACTCCCTGTATTCTTAAATATTAAATTAAATTTGAACTGAAGCCTGGGGGAGAAGCAGGAAGCCACAGGAAGGACCTGGGGAAGAACATGGTAAGCAGAGGAAAAGGCCCTGAGACAGAGCAGTCACAGGCCACAGGCAGGCAATATGGCCAGTGAGCAAGGGTAAGAAGCAAGGCCTCCGCGTGGAAAGCATGGAGAAGTGGGCTGAGTCAGAGCACAGCAGTCTATGTGCATCAGGAAGCCATGGAAAAGTATTAAGTTCAGGCATCGCAACCCAATTTTAATACAGTAACACTTCATTTCATGAAACAGTATTTCAGAGTAGCTCAAGTTCCACTTTGGGTCTGTGATCTAAAACTATACATTTGTACTGGTGCTGCAGTCCCAGACTTTGGGAGGCTGAGGCAGGAAGCTTAGCAGTTTGAGGCTAGCCTGAGCTCCATAGTGAGACCTTCTCTTAACAGAGCAAAACAAAATGACCTATACTTTTGATACATTAGGGCTAGCTATTTAAAGAAATTTTATGTAATACTGTATTTTAAAATAAAGTATAGCTTTTATGTCAACCTAGAGGAATATCACACACAAGATAGGCAGAATAGGTCCAATCACAGAGCTAGCACCTCCACAGACACCTACTTCCTGTCTCCCCTTCCGACTCCCAGCTACTGCAAAGAGATGGTTTCAACTAGGAACTGAAGGCAACAAGGAGTCATGGCATTACCCAGTGGCAGTTTGCTGGCAGCATCTGGTCCCTTTGTTTTCTTCTTCTTTTTCCCCACTCTAGTTGGTACAGGAGGTTCATATTTCTTTTTCTTGTCCTTGGGTTTTTAGAAGATCATGGGAAAAAAAAGTCAATGGAATCATAAAACACACATTTTTTGTCCTGCTTTACCACCATCTATAGTTAGGTGGTATAATTTTCCTTATCTCTTAGAATGCTATTAGAAACTGCCTTTGAGGGCTGGGAAGGTGGCTCAGTGGTAGAGTGCTTGCCTTGCATGCCTGAGGCCCTG